AAAATTTTTAAACAATTTTATTGTGCCTAATATTTGCATACCTGATTTTATATTTATGTGTCATTTTTATTTTTTTTTATTTAATTTTATAATTTTATTTATTAATTAATTATTTTTTATTTTTAACATTTAAAGTGACTCTGAGTATCCAAGACATTGGCAGAAGGGTTAATCCAGACAGTTTGTTATACTTCTTTAAAATTAATTCATTACGTTGTTATTGCTTTTGGAATTTTACAAGTTACATTGATGTAACACAACACATACATATTATCGACACAGATCTTATATATTTTCATTGACATTTATATCTACATCGATATACATTAACTTATTTCTACATACATTGTCAGATATTTTTTATTTCATATATACACTGAAAAATTTAGTTAATTCTTATAAGTATTTATTTCAATACTGTCAAATAAATCATTTATTTGAAACTAATAATATTTATTTGGTATAAGAAAATCCTTTTCAAAACAAATTAATATTTGTTATAAATAAATGATTCATTTGACAGTATTGAAATAAATATTTGTTAATTTAACAAATTTTTTTCAGTGTACGATTTTTAAAAAAAAAATTTTCGCGGAACGAAAAATCATTCCCTGGTAAAAATAATGAATTTATTTCTAAAATAGATATCTATATGGTGATACATTAGAGTATGTATGTGAAAGTAATATTTATACTGAATAAAAATATTTGAAGAGATACACAGAAGTCACAGTCAATGTATACGTCAGGAAGTGTTTATATGTAGATGAATGCGCATGAACGTGTCAGGTAAAACTCGGTGTTTTGCCTCATCAGTATAGCTGAAATAGTGTCGGTGAAAGCATTGTTGATCTTTATTGATTTCGATATGGCTAGTGTGTATAATTATATATTCCATACCTGGGATAACGGAAAACGATTGATGACAAAAATACCATCCCGTAAAGTTCTCAGTAAGTAAACGATGTATTGTTCATTCCCGATTATTATATCATCGATGACTTACAAATATGGAAACGACGCATATGCTAAAGAGGAGAATAATCTACAATCTAAAGTTTCTATACGTCGTCGCGCATGATTCTATCATGATGTAATGCGCTTTTACAAAAATATCGTATGTAATATATTGTTTTTCACTTCTATCTTCCTACCTTTAATGACAAAAAATATTTAATTAGTTCACTAGTTTTCTAAAAAGAAATTGTATTTTAATTAATTTAATTTTCTAAAAGATTTTTAGAATTAATTTAATATTTTTCTAAGTTAAATATATTTGTCCAGAAAATATAAAATATTTATTCAGAAAAATATTTAATATTTTTTCAGAATAAGATTTCTAGCTCGTTATCTTAAATAAATATTGACACTTATTTTTCTAAACAAATATCAAACTAAATACTTTTCTATGAAATATACTTTTCTAAACAAATATGAAATATTTTTCGAAGAAGAATCGTTATCTTAAATAAATATTAACACTTATTTTTCTAAACAAATATCAAACTAAATACTTTTCTATGAAATACTTTTCTAAACAAATATAAAATATTTTTCGAAGAAGAAGATTTCTGGCTCGGTCGCTTCTCGCCTCCCACCTACTAAATCGAAGTTAACTGTTAAATCGGCAGTTAATTGCGCTCGCGCGCAAGAACAGAAAGACCCCTCACTGACGTTGAGTGTCGCGTTAATTACCGAGCGTTAGGCAGGCTCGTCCCTCTCGGCGTATAGGTAGACGGATGGATTACTTAACACTTGTCACGCCTCGCTAATTAACATTCAGTCATCTCCCTCTCGGAAGTGCTCCCCACGGGCTCCCTCCTGATGACGACGCGACAGGTGGAAAGTCGTTTAATATTTATCGACCATCGCTCCCGACCCCGTTGAAGGCTTCGGGGCCCCCGATAACTCCAACCGGTCCCCCGGGATCGTCGCTCAATCAGAATTCGTGATGGCGCGCGACGGCTTCACGGAAAATATTAGAATACGAGACGTCGATTAGCGACGGATAAAACGGACGGATATTCTTCTCCGAGTTTTTTTCTTCGTTCCGCGATTGTCAACGTCTCGCGTGGGGATTCTCCGGAATTCCAGATGCAGGACGTTTCGTTCCATCGAACAGTATCTGCGTGTTCGATCGCAGATGGACGGGTGTTGTGCTAACTAATGTAACTTGACACGTGACATTGCTTAGCTAATTCTAATATCGACGAGGATTCCTGGAAAATTGGCGCGAAAAGTGTTTACCAAGTATTGTTGTTTATCTGGATAAGAAACCCACTAGGTCGATGCTTATGAGATAAATAGAAATTCTTTTTGGCGACAAGGAAAACATAAAATATTGTTATGTAATTGTCAAGGAAATCGATTAGAGTGAAAATAATACTTCGTCTGGGGATGCTGATTGTTTCTGTTTTATCGATGAATATTATTTTCATTTATTGGTTATACAGAATGAAAAGTCCTTTACCCAGTATTAAAGTATTTAGGTTACTATATTGTATATAAAAAAGTCAAGAAATTACAATTTTCTTATTGGTTAGAATGCAAAAGACTGATAAGAAAACTGTAATTATTTAGCTTTCTTACATACAGGATTGTATCTAAATAAGTGAAAAAAATTTTAAGAGATGATTTTTTGTATTTTAAATAATTTTTTTTTCTAAAAAAAATATATAATTTAAAAAAAATAATCTATACGATAATATCTATCTGTTCTTGTAATCATATACGAAATCAAAGCGAATGCAAAGCGTCATACGTGTATATAGAAATGAGTCAGATATTATAAATGTATTTACAGAATAATGATAGCGCTGTCAAAATGGTCACACATTACTAAATTTCTTAGTGGCGAAGTTGAGGAGTTAATTAACAAACTTAAGCAACATTTGATACGGTCAATGCTTGAATGGTTGACAGCCTGGGAAGACCGTGTCCCATTGGCGCTAATGCCGAGGCTAATGACTGTAGAAGTCGATGTCATAATTGAGAGGAAAAAAAAGAAGATAATGCTGGTATCCTGTTTGAAGAGCGCGACGTCAGAAGAAAACGGTTATGACATAATTACGCAAATACGTCGTCTCATTTCACGCTTTATTCATTCAGCTTGCTGTTTAGCTTCGACCTGCAAAAAATTTAACGACACCTTAAATATATGTACAATTATTTTATAATCAAATAAATCTAAAGATACCATAGAAATCTCAGCTAGATACACCAGATGTAGGTCTTATACAAATTTTTCGGACCGAATTTTCGAACCGATTTTTTGAACCGATTTTTCGAACCGATTTTTTGGACCGATTTTTCGAACCGATTTTTTGGACCGATATATTTTTCTCGCATGCATCACTTCAGAGGGGTAAAAGAGGAACTTTTAAGAATTAATATCTCAAGTAAGAGATTTATCCTGAATGAGTCTTAGCAATTGCTAAGCAAAATTTCGTGCCTTGTGCACTATTATAAAAACACAGAGGGAGCTTTACTCTAATACTTTAATATTATTCTTCTACAAATAATGATAAAAAAAATGCACAGTGTGACATAACTATAAAAGCTTCGGAAAAGGTCTCACTTTGACTTTACGGAATAATCACGGGTTCTCGCGTCATCGATGGCCGATCGATCGATCGCGGGATATTTACGTTATAATGAGACTATTAACACGCCGCGAGAAAACTTGGACGGTCGAGCGTTTATGATAGCCGATGACCTACCTAGCGGCTTCCATTAGAGAATAAGCCGCGTCGAGTGAGACATTTGCCGATCTCTCTCGTCTTCGACGCAGGTGCCGTCTCGAGGAAGGTACCATTTAAAAGTTCCTCGCTTTTACACTATACAACGACGCGTGCCTTCGGGCCCCCCGATCTTAGCTCGGCGCATTAGCGAGGATCTCCCCGGAGTTACGTAAAGTGGTTTCCCCTTTCGCTCTCTCTCTCTCTTTTTCCTTGCGATCGGCACCTTCAGATCGGCGCGCCGCGGTCGAATAAATTATCGCGGGAAATTTTCTCCGAACGTATGCAAATTACGCGAACCTGGCGGGAGAGAAGGAGTCGATTGCGTCGTAAGATTGCGTCGATTATACATATATGCGTGAATCACAGTCGCGGATGAACGAGCATATCGATGCACACACATATCGTGTAATAGATATGCATATATTGCGGTCGTAATCACCTGTGTGTCATTGAGCGGAATGGAGAATTAAAAATCGAAATTATCCGCGCGGCTTCCTCTCGCGACGTGACGCCGAGTGTAATTTAATACTACACATTGTTTCCTTTCGATGTGAATTCTCTCGATATATATGCGTTCAACCTTGCCGGTTAATTCTCTCGGAATGAGATGATGGAGTTATAGTTATTACTATCGACAGTAAAAGATAATTGTTTTGCGAAGTGAAGTCAAATTGAAAAACCGTGTAATGATGATTCCGCCTGCATCATCGTCTCGTAATAGATCATCGAGTTTACGTTTATCACGCGATTGTTTGTAGAGAACTACTGTCTACAGAATAGAATAGAAGCTTGGCGGAAATATTTTGTATACTTAGTAATTTTTATTATATTACGTAATTTTAATTAATTACTTCAAAGTTTATTATTTTAATTTAATAAAACTATTAATTTTAATAAATTTTTTCAAAATTAAAAAAAATGTGATAAATTTTAAATTACATCAAATTATTTTAATTAAATTTTAATACATTTTTTATTAATTATTAAATTAAATTAAAAATTAATTTAATTGAATAAGAATTTTAATATAATTATTTTTTATATCAGATTTTATTATGATATTATTATTTATCAAAATTAATTATAACAAAAATAATTGTGAAACTCAAGCTCTCTTTACGAAAATATACCATATTTCATCTAAACGCAACGAGAGAGGCCGACAAGTTAGAGTTTTAGTCTCGAACGCGAATAATGAATTAATCAGCCCACTTGTGGTCGTGGTGACTATGACAGCTGATCGAATGTTTTCTGTTTCAGATTCGTGCGAACCCGTTGCGGAGCGACCTTACGGTGAGTGACTCACGATCTCAATTTCCTAGCGATTACGAGACCGTACTTAAGTGTACGGCACTGTATAAAAATCGTCGCGGAAACCTTCTATTCAGTATTTTATCCGTGAAAAAAAACTTTACCCTCTCCCATTACGCAGTCCGCGCAATTCAAGCTTCCATTCAAGATGCCTCATTCGCTGTTGATTTCATACGGCATTGCGAAATACGCGATGTAACGCCGTTGGGTTCCCGTTTTCTCTTCCTCTTTTTTTCTTTCTTTTGTAGCGTGCGCCGCCTATGCAAACGCGTAAATTAGATCGAATTCCCGGAACAATATTACTCGAAGCAGAGAGTATCCGGTGGCCAACTAGTTTTATATCGCAAAAATCCGGGCAAAAAGCCCGAGTGTCTTCGATCTTGTAAATATATAACAAACTACGCCCGTATTTCATTTTTCTTTCATCTATATAATCTAACTAATCTTTCTTATGATATCATTTTCGTTAGGGGACAATTTTTATTTTTTTAAGGATTTTTACTGCGATTAATTTTTGTTTTCCCTCTCTCTCTCTCTCTCTCTTCGATCGTCGACACTTACTCGAGTTCAATGACGGCGAATCCGACAACAAGCGAATCCATCCATCCGACGATGATGGTCGGAAGAAGAGAGACGTATATTTCGAAAAGCCGTCCATCTCCGGAGCGTGATATCAAGTCAGGTGCGGAGGGAAGCTGTTATAAGGACATAAAAAGTCGCGTTGCATCCGGTCTCGCGTCTCCTCTATGCCAGAAGTCGTAAAATTCAACGTTATGCGATTCGGGGCCTGTGTTTTGTCCCCCTTTCGAGATTATGATTATCCCAGCAGTGGCGGCAGCCACCGTGGCTAATATCACGCAATAAGCACGCCGGAGCCCAAGAAAGACCAACGGTCTATCTTTTCTCTCTACATATATCTCTTTCTCTCTTCTCGCTCGTCTTTGTCCATCTCCTCCTCTCGCCTTCTCATCCTCCGGTATATAATATGTGCCACCAAACCTGATGGTGTAAACGGCCATCCGGTGGAAACACGTGGATGGTCCAGGACGAGGTGGAGGAGAAGAAGGCCATCAAACGGGCCGCGCAGCCCCGCGGAGGGCATTTCTAACTTTCCTGAAGCAACTCCATCTTCACGGTCTATCGTACGTTTGAGAACACCGAGTCGCGGTAGTCGGGGGCTACCTAGGTGTGTTGCGTCGCTAATGGTCCCGGAATGCCCTCGCAGGGCTCTCTTCGGGTCGTCCGTATCCCAGGGAGATACGGAATATTTTACGATAATAAGCAAAAAATTATTTTGTATTACACGTGCAGGCAAAGTGGCACTTTGTGTGCGTGTTTTCTGTGCGGAAAGCGGCCGATTTCCCACGCCGCCATCTAGCGGCGACGCGGTAAGTAAATAAGCCGCGTTCAAAGCCATTGCCTACGGCTGAGCCGCATTCAAAGTCATTGCCCACGGCTTCAGTCGTGAGCAATGACTTTGAACACGGCTATTTCCGCACCGTGCCGCCGCAAGATGGTGGCGTGCGATCGGCCACCTCGCGCACAGAAAACGCGCACAAAGCCACTTTGCCTGCACTTGTAATACAAAATAGTATGTGTATCACGTGCGGATTGACAATTTTCCGCACTTGATACACAATATACTATTCTCTATTTCCTTTGTTTTTTTTCATCTTCATCTGGGGAATTAAAACTCGCACTTTTGTGCAAGCGCGAATAGGATTCGCAGCCGAGGTTTTCGGGGGTTGTCGAATCAACAGGTCCCTTCCTCCGATTATGAGAGTGTAAAGCGTTTTGAATCTGACCCTCGTGCGCGAATCTCGATGTAGTAGGAGGAGAGAGAAAAAAAGGGCGAATCTTGTCCGTGGGGGGTCGTGTCAGACGACGACTCTCCTCTCCCGGATCGGTGAAATCGCGCGCGTATGTATACGTGTATGTATTAAACGTTGCGGGGGTGGTCTACCCCAGGCTATACGGGGATGCCTGACAGCCGATTAGGGCTAGGCGGCAGGGAGGCCCCCACGGAAAACTTAAAATAACATCGCTCGATCATCCGGGTGTCTTCGCAGACAGCCGAGGACGCCGTGCTCCGTCATTCAAACGCTTACCATCCCATCACCTTGCTTGCCGCTATTCTACCCTCGTACGAGATTTGATTGTCAGCGAGTGTTCCGTGTCGCGAATCAAACTGCCTTTAAAAACACGTGTTTGATTACTCCATTCATTCGTGCGACCGTACTTTTACATTCTATGCATATATTATGCATTATATTAATTGTTATATATATATATATATATATATATATATATATATATATATAGACATGTTTTAAAATATTATATTCTTTAAAATTTTTTAAAATAATTATATACAAGGTGTATCTAAATTAGGGCGAATCAAGCCTGTCTTTAAAAATACGTTTAATTAGCCGATTCATTCGTGCGACCGTACTTTACATTACGCATATATTATGTATTATATTAATATTGTATTAATTGTTATGTATATATTTATAGACGTGTTTTAAAATATTATATTTTTTATGTTTTAAAATATTACAATATATAAATAATAAAATATAAATATAATATTCTTTAAAATTTGTTAAAATAATTATATATACGAGGTGTATCTAAATAAGGGCGAAAAATTTTTGGAGATATTGGATTCTTTGTCGAAAAAATTAAGGGGGTTTTTTTATATATCTAAACATAAACTCTAAAAATTAAGTTTTTATTTTTTTTTCTCAAATTTCAGACAAATTTAAAAAATGAAACTTGGTGGATATTTTTCATTTCATTTTTTTTTAAATTAATATTTTTGTCTGACATTTGAGAAAAAAGTAAAAACTTAATTTTTACCTCTCTCTTTACAAAAGTGTAACTCCTCGGAGAGAGATATAAAGAGAGAATAGAGTATATGTTTATATAAGAAATCCCCCTTAATTTTCGACAAAAAATCATCTCCTAAAATTTTCGCGCTTATTTAAGTACACCCTGGTGACAACTTGTCTTAATATAATAATTAAAAAGTAAGTTGTTTGCGATTAATATTTGAAGACAGAACCCTCATATATATATAAATCACATATAATAAATTATATCAACTGTTTTGCGACTTGTTTAGTAAAATTGAATAAATCTATTCGGAATATTTCATATAAAAAAAATAATTCATATATATTTTTTCTCTACATTTTGAAAAGAAGTATACACACAAGTTTAAAGTTACTTTTTAATTATTCGCGCGCGAGATAAGATTTCAACATTATTTAGAGAACATACAAAAAATGTTGGAATTATTTTTGACGTCAGGCGGAGGAAAATTTATCAAGCAGTCCGAGGTTGAGCACCTCTTCGATGCTCATTACAGAGCGTCCCGCCCCCGGCGGCGGATAATCAGGGTGTGCGGGGGAGTGAGGGGGGCGGGGGCGGTGGGTGACCTCGCCCGGGGCCTTTACTCTCCTCTTCTTTCGCCCCTGCCACTTCCATGTCTCTTTGCTCTCTTCCTCCTGTCTCCGACCGAAGTATGCTCTTCTCTCTTCTCTCACCTCTATATACTAATCTCGTCCCTTTTTCTCCTGTCCGGCATCCGCGATCGTCTCCTTTTCTCCCGACGCTTTCGTCTACCTGCGAAGGTGACGGAGCAGCAGCTCCGAGGCTTTACGAATCGCGACCTCGCCGATACTTTGCATTCGGTGTGCATCGCTATCATCCTCCAGGTCTCTCGTTTCTCTTCGAAATTGGAGAAAGTTTCATTTATATACGGCTGTGATATACAGCACGTGATGTCTTGCATTAGTATTTTTTTTTAGTGTCTACTAAAGGAATAATGAAAGTATTTATACAAGTTTTATACTTAATACTAGGTACTATTATAGTGTCAGATATAAGACAATTTTTTAACACAATAATTTTTGATAGTTTTTCTAAAAGATGATTTATATGTACATATATATATATATATATATGAAATAAAACTATGAAATATATAATTATAATTAATTATTTTATATATTAAAATATATAAAATAAAATTAAAACATATATGTATATAAAATTATTGTATTAAATATATTATTCTGTCTTATATTATACATTTATATTTTTATATCAGGGAGATATTGAGATTCGAATTATTACGAAATAATTTTTTAAATGTCATTTTTATCACTTGTGTCAGCGCAGTCGCTGTAAAACTATTGGTCGCCTCAATATTTTAGAAATGAGAAGATTAATCAATATCGCGAGAAAGAAAGATAGAGAGAGAGCCTCCAGCTATTTGGCCGCGAATAATAATAATGATTACGAAAAGATTATGGACTTCGAGCAGGAAATGACGTTGGTGAGGGTGGAAAGTGCTGTTCTTTTTTTTTTTTTTTATTTGCGAAATACGACAGCGAATCGTGCAATTGCCTTGCTTCCTTTTTCACGGTTCATTATCTATGCAGAGTTTAGTAAAGAGAAAAAGGGGGCAGATGTAAGGAAACTAAAGGGAGACCAGGAAGAAAGAGTTCGGATTCACGAGGAATTGAGAGAAATTTCGAGACACGTCGCTGAATAATTGAAACACAAACAGGGGAATCGGCGTGGATGCTCAACCTGTGGATCCTCGAAGAGAGACAGAGAAAGAGGCAGAATTTAAAGATCAGAGAGGCCGAATAATTCCACGACGCTTCTAAAAACTAGTCTTCGACCGGAAGTTCTTCGAGCCCGATCTAATTTGCAAAGAAGCTGATCCTTTATTTAGAGACTAACTCCGTTACGGTTTCTCGTAGACATATAAGCGCGGATCAAAGAAATCTCTTCCGCGAACGATTTCCGAGAAGTTTTACATATCACGGTACTGGAGTGTCTAGGACGCAAGATATACGCTCTTTTCGCCGTTACGTATCGGAATGCGACTTTACTAGGATGTACTGTACTAGGATGATGCTTGATCGCCCGTTTGTCCCGTTACGAGAATTCTTTCTTTCCTTCGC